GGAAAGGCAGGAAAGAAGAATACGTAATGACATATCAATACAGCACTACTTACACCTTCACCATCACCTTCGCCTGAGGACGTTGAATATACATAACTCTGATCATTGGGGCCCGAAAAAAAAGGGTTTTGTAATTTTTTAATGTATTAAATACATATAGTAGAATAAATTATCATCACTTATGTATTTAAAAGACCAGCTGATACCACAATGTTATAGATGACTTGTTACAGTAACTAACGCAGTAGCTGTGTCATTGGAGAGTAACACTTGCTGGAAATAACATACATTGTTGGCTGGAAAAGTGGGGAACTTCCACCGTTTCATTCTCGGGGGAGTTATTGTAACACTTTGGAAAGCTCTAAATGGGAGGATGGTTCAACTGAAATTTATGAAATGCAGCTTTGATTCTCCTGTTTGGCGGATTCCGGAGAACCCAGTGGAAAGCGGTGAAAAGCAGAGATACGAGACAAACTTGACCACATTGCGAAGATGCAACAGGCCTTGCTTTTTCACACCAAACTAATGCTTTTTAACAGGTTTCACACTACCACTGATTTAGCCTAATGCTTCAGTAAATTAAAAAGCACACTTAGCAAGTCTAGGATCCTGTACACAATCATATTCATCTTATCTCAAGAGTCAGTGCTGGAAAAATACTATATGCTGCCATCCATATTAATTGCCTGTTTAAACTGTACCTATAGTGTTTAAATTGTATCAAAGTTCATTAATCTACAGTTACTCATCTGGCCTGCAGTAATGAAAACATGACATGAAGGTAACTGAGCAAGTTCTGAGTGAGGTAACTACAAAAATAATTCCTTGCTGGCTGTCTTTTTTACTTGAAACCCATTCATTTTGATGTCATAGATATCTTTCAGTGATTTTCAGATTTCAGACACGGCTGGCAGTGTTTTCCAAATGCACACATCACCCTCAGTTGTAGCTGCATCGGATACATTTAAATTAAAAAAAGAGGAAAACAGTAGAGAGGACAGTAAAGAAAGCAAAGATTTGCTGTTAAAAAGTATGCTTACATTTCAGGGCAAATATTCTGACCTTTGATAAAATAATCATTTTAGACTTGAAGTACTTTAAAGCCCTCAGCCACATATGCTCCTGTTTATAGTGTCATCCTAAGAGACTCACTGCAGTACTGCAAAAAAAAGAAAAGAAAATACATTTCAGAAAATGATGTGAAATGCCTCTGTGACCAGATAATTCACATCCTCCATGCCAAACACATTCAAATGTCCAGTGGCTGGAGCAGTTGATTAATTCTGATATGCCGACAGATTCAAGTAAAGACAACTGCTCACCTGGCACGAAGGATTAGAAAAGGTGCTTCACTGAGTGACAACCAGAGACCAAGATGAGACATAAGGCTGCATGACACCAGCATATATTCACCAACTATCTCTGTAATTGTACAGCGGGTTTAAAAAAAACAAAAAAACTGTGTACAAACATACAGTTTTGTTGTCAGAACCAAGATCATCTCCAGAGTGATTTCCTTCTCTAGCTGAAAATGACAACTCTTGTTTTTCATCACTCTTAAATACAGTGTCATGAAGATCTACCAAATTTGATTGATTTGATTTATTCTTTCAAGCATGTAAAGACAGTTGATATGTCAACACACATCATTTTACACATATCCAACAAATGCTAATCCAATATCAATGTGCTTATACCTAGTACATGCTTGAATGGAGTAGGAAGAAGTCAGACTTATCCAGTCCTACCCCATGACATCATCTTACCATCATTGGTTTGCAAGCAGTATCTCTACATAGATAATTCTCTTCTACATCACACAAGTAATATACTAAAAAAATGATAACAGAGTGTTAACATTCTTACATAATTACATTCTTAAATAAAGTAAAAATAAAATCACCTTGACATGTGATTTTCCATCCCTTAACATTTTACTGTATTAATGTATGTAAATATTAGAAAAGGGTGTCCTGTTATATGGAATTTCATGTCATCCATCCCTCTCTGCACACTTCCCCAACACCATGTTCCACTTCTTTGACTTGGGGGCAATAAGAGCATTTAAAACATGAACAGTTTCCACCAAAGAAGAACACATTCCTGGGCCAGTGTTTAACACAAGCACTGCCATCTTATAGATATACACAGATCAGCCAGAACATTATGACCACCTGCAGATGGCTGCTACTCGTGTCACTTTGCAGCTCGCTGTGCATCTTCTGTGAATCCAATTGCTTCCATAGTTCTACTGTCAGGGAGAACACAACTGCGTCGACTATTCAGTGAAAAGCTTATATAAAAGCAATGAAAACTGTTGTTGTGACAAGAAATTTGAGATAATTTTTGAGACAAATTCAACAGCCACTCTAGGTGTGATATCACCACTATAGCTGCTGACTGTTTCTCTTCAAGGAGACCAATGTGAAGTATTTCTCATTTTCAACCATTTTAACAAAGATTCAAACAAAACACAATCTTTTGAAAAGGATGAATGAAATTTTAACGTTTAATCTACAGTAGGTCGACCTCATCATCAGTAGGCTTGGGTGCCCAGGACCCTGCCGCTGGTTCACTGTTTGTAGGTACTAACCACTGCAGAGCAGGAACACCCACTGAGACCGCGGTTTGGGAGATGCTCTGACCCAGTCGTCTAGACATCACAGTTTAGATCTTGTCAGTCACTAAGATCCTTAGGCTTGCCCGTTTTTCCTGCTTCCAAACCATCAATTTTGTGAACTGAATGTTCACCTGCTGCCTAATATACCCCACACACTGACAGGTGCCACTGTATCGAGATAATCAGTGTTATTCATTCCACCATAATGTTATGGCTGACCAGTGTATAGGCGTGGGACCTTGTCATTTTTTTGTACAACGTATCAACACTGGTATTGGTGATACTGATCTGGGTTTTACTTTGTATTGGATTAGAAAGAAAATAAGTGGGTATAAAACATCACTAGCACTGAGATCATGATACAACTGAGCCAATCACTAGCAAGGAGCCAAGCTCCCTCACATGCAGAGTTCCAAAAAATGACTGGAACACAGCAGGCCCATGCGCCAGCATAGTGAAGTAATTGCATGTGGTTTTTATAGCACATGGGAGGTTTGTGGCACCCTCTGCAACGAGCATGCAGCAGCCCTGAGTGTTTAGGCAAATCAGTGGAACATAGCCTTATGAGAAAGTTACAGGTATGCCTGTATCTAAACTAAACGCTGCCCAAAAATTAACAGTACTGAAATATGCCCCAAACAGTCTTTAATGTATAACACCAGCAAAAAGCTGATTACATAACACTTCAAGAAAACAATTAAATGGACCTTTTTACTCTCAAAGGAATTTACAGTTCTGACAACTTCCAGATTAGGTTACATTCAGGTGCATGTTGCCTGTTTTTAGCCAATTTCGGGCTCCACTTGCTCTCTCCGCTTGTTTTACCAAGCTATGTCTGGCCTGCTCTGTAGTTGCACTCCATGTTTCTCCTTTCTGACTTCATCTCAGTACCAACATTTCATGAGGTTAAGGAGGAGCTAATTCAAACTCAGCCTAGAGCTCATCTCTGCGTCACATGACCAGCTGCCTCAACTTCAGTCATTCTGGTCCCTGTCAAGCTAGTCAGCAGCCTACTTGCAGTTTTCTTTGGCTAGTCTCAGTCTGGACAGGATGTGTTTCTTAGGGAATTTTAAAGTGGTACAGCCAAACTGGCTCACCCCTCCAGTATCCCCAGGGAGTTTTTCACGTCTCTGGACCCAGCTGCGCCATCCCGGCTTCCAGCAGTACACACTGTCATAGAAACGAGAGCCGTTTTCCCCGCCCAACACATAAATCCTCCTTTTCCACCTGGCCACACCACCAGCTGCAATCCGCCGTGGCAGCCCAGGAAAAACCACAGGGCTTGGGGCTCGGTCACTTCCACCACCTGCGCATCCCCGCTGCTCTGCAGTGACCATCACCCCTCCCCCTGTCACCTCCCTCTCTAACCCAGACCCCCTGCCCTCTCTGAAAAACAGCACACGTCCAGTGGCATCTAAGGTCTCCAGGTTGGTATAGTTTCCATCCAGGAACTTGGTGGTATCCCTCATGTATCCCCCGATTGCACAGACTCCTCCTCGCACTGCTACTCCTCCAGCGAGGCAGGTGGCGCCAGAGTCCAGTGCCACACGTGTCCAGCAGTCTGTCAGGGTGTGATAAATAAGCACACCTGAGTGGACCACAGCCCGGTTCTGTTCAAGCGTAGTTCCACCCAGAAGGTAAAGTCGTCCACGTAGTGCTGCACAGGCAAAGGCGCGCAGGGGGAGTGGCAGCCGGGGCCCCTGACCCCACCTTAGCGTAGTCAGCTCCAGGGTCTCACTGGAGTCCAGCAGGGCTGAGCGGTTACTTCCACCTAAGGCATACAGTGACTCTCCACATTCCAGAAGACCTAGCATAGCCCTGGGCTGGACCATTGAAGGCCGCTCTATCCAGCGGTCCAACACTGCATCATATTCATGCATGGCTGCAGACACAGAGCCTGTCCGCAGGATCCCACCGGCTACAAACAGCCTGTCACCCACAGCTGTGCAGCCGGGACTCACGAGTGAACCCAACGCTGCCAGCTTCTCCCACTTCCCTGTCCGAGGATCAAAGCAGTCCACTGTGTAGTCTCTCCCAGCTAAATTCTCATCTTCCCGAGGTGTCAGGTCCACACAGACAATCTTTTTCTCAAACATGCCCTCCCGTGGTCTCAGAGGCCCCCCAAGGCCCTCACCAGCTGCAGCAGGCCCCAGCTCCTGGCTTAGTCTTCGGCTCTCTTCTTGGGATAGCAGCCCTGGCCGCAAGTGGTGAAGCAGTGCGGGCATGTGGGCATAGCGATTCAGGGGTTGGTGCTCTGCCCAGCGCCGTGCTGCGTCGTAGACCTCCGCTTCCGAGTCCACCCCCAGGTGATCTGAGCTCAGAAGACTGCCTAAGGTGCCATGGTCTAGTAGGAGGAAATCTTTCTGCCGGGCCACCCGGGGGAAGTGTTGAGCTACCAGCCGCAGGGAGGCACGCAGCAGCAGCTGGTCATGGTGAGAGCGAGCCAGAGAGTACATCCCCAGGCAGTTATCCACTGAGAGGTGCTCAAATAGAAACCTGGAGAGATGAGAGTGGAGAAAGCAAAAGAGGAGAGAAAGACAGAGGAAAAGACACAGAGAGGGTGAGAGAAAGAAGGGAGGGCAAAACATACTGTAAGGTCTAGACCTTACTTTGTAAAGTGCCCTGAGATGATTTTTGTTGTGATTTGGCACTAAACAAAAAAAAGTGAATTGAATAAACAAAAGAATGTCAAAGTAGCAGTATAACTGTGTGTGATACATAAAGTCTAATGTAAACTTTATCACCAGTATAACTCATAAAATAGATGTACCTGGAGCACAGGTCTTGAAGGGGCATAACCTGAAGCCGGTTCGCAGCCACAAACAGATCCTCAGCTGTGTCCAGAGAGAGCCCTGCCTCACCAGTGTACACAAACTGGATGACAGTTTCCATGACAGATGGTGTCACTTCCTCCAGGCGGATCTCAGTGAGGCGAGACTCCACTAGAGGGCTGGTGAACATGGCTCGAAAGTACGGGCTCACAGCTGCTAGGAGAACTCTGAGGGGAGAAGAAGTTGGAAAGAGAAAGAAATTATTTAGAAGATGTGGACTTTGTAGAACAAAGACATGAAATGTCTCCACAAATGACTGTTTCACTATGTTCTCAAAGGGAAGCAGCTTACTGTAGGCCAGCAGGGTGCCTTTCAAATATCACAAACACACTGCAAATGGCTTTCATCAAGAACAAAACTGGCCTGTATCACAGCAACTTTGTCAGCAGTTAGCACCTTCACCCTTCACCCTTTCTTCCCTTCAAAGGATCCGTTTGTCTCTCCCTGTTAGAAAACTTGGATTCTGTGTTATAATTTGTACTGAAATGAGTATTCAATTGATCAATAATTGAATTAGCAGAAAATAAATGACAAATGTGATCATGCAAGTTATTTATTGAACAAAAATATAAAATATTTGGTGATTACAGATATGATTCATTTGCTTTCCTCCTGCAATTGTAAATGGAATCATTTTTGGTCAGCATATACTTTTCAGGCATGACAGCATTAAATACTTGCAATTGGCATATTTGTACTTTCTGATAGATAAAAATTTGACAATAGACTATTTGTTTCTATGCTTTCCCTGGTATGATGTCCAAAGGGCCATATTAATTTATACAAATAAATCAATACACACAATGCTTACTAAAGTTCAAACACAGGACACAGTCTCAGAACTGTTAACTGTATCTTCTACAAAAGCAAGAACCGCAAACAGACAATGCTATAGTTTCTAGCAGCCTCCTTCATATCTGTGTTTGTGTATGCGTGTGACTGGAAGCTCAAAGAAAGAGCTGACTCATGTCAGAGCCCCGACTTAACCTTAATGAGGCCTTGAACTGAACAAAGAGTAGACAGACTGCTCTGAAATATCTTTAATAATGTCTGTCATAAGTATTAATTCTAAGCAAAACACTACAAGTACATGATCAGAAATGAATGACTACGAATAAACTAATTCTAATCAAATTATTAAGTGACAAGAACAAATTAAACCAGTCACATTTGTTAAGTACATTATTGATTAAACATATATAAATTATGAGCCCTGGCTGAATTGCTGTATGTAAAGTCAGTCTACAACCCTGCTGTTCTATAGACTACGGTGGGCATACTACACCTGTGACACATGAACTTCTTTCCCTCGACAAGCAGAGTGACGTCACACAGCTGCTGAGCATCCAGGAGCTGCTTCAATCCTAAGATACAGCAAAGATATGAAGGAGGAAAAACAAGAATGGGGCAAAAACAGGGAGAGAAAAGCAGGGTAAAATTATAAAATTTGAAAGGACACATGAAAGCAAATGACTCACACTACAGTTGCTAGTTTCCAGAATCCCAACAACACCCTCTCTAGGCTCCTGTCTCACCTTGTGTAATGTAGTCCCCGAGTGGGGTAGTGCTGTCATCAGGGAAGTCCTCCTCCTCTGAGTCACTGTCCGACAGAGGCTCTCCTCCTCCCCCATCCCCGTCCTGCCAGGGCTGGGGACGCCAAGTAACTGTGCCCCCACGCACAGCATTCATCTGAGGTACAGTATATACATACACAGAGTTAGGCCAGAGAATTACACACAAGCATACACACGTGAAGTGAGTAAACACATACAAGTTTGCACTTAAACCTTTAGACATGTAGCGCCTACTGCCAACAGTGCCATGTGTATGTGTTACTAATAGAGGCCAATATGTACCTTATAACCTTATATATCTACTTCATGCAATAAATCATGTTTTCTACAGATCTACCCCATCCCATTATTACACCGTTTCCATTCTGAGTTTACTAGAATTACAATAATAATATCTTTATAAAAGACTGGCTATAATATCTGTTATTATAGCATCACTAAAATAAAATACAGCTAGATAGATATTACCTTTGCTCTTCTTCTCGTTTCCACCGTGAAAGCTGTTTGGGTTTCACTTTGAGCAGGAATTGGAGGCACTTTGGAGCAGGTTGACTGTATCCAAGGACCCGGTTACTACCACAAGCTTGCAAAGGCTGTCCCGGCTCCCATTTGGTTGTCCGGATTCAGCTGAAAGGCTCGTCCCGGCCTGTGATGAAGACGCGTCAGGCTACTCGCTGCTCATCCAAACCCCCTGCACAACATCACCACTAACTGGCGGACCAAACTAGCTTACAAAGGAGCAATTCTCCTCCTGTACAAAAGCTTCTGGCCGTAACACATACCAGTCCACCATGGCATTAAGCACACGGATCCAGCTGAGTGATGAGGCAATGCAGAATCTAGTTTATAAAACCTAAAGAGCTGAAAATCAGGAGTGAATTTGTCTTCAGTCGAACGCGCTTGTCAAGACTGAACCGGAATACCGCAACGTTCAACTTCCGCTTTCTTGATTGGGAGACCTTTGACTCGTGACGATTGTTTCGAGCCGTGACTTTTTTCGATCAGGGGTTAAACTAAAATGTTTTCCAATCACCTTTTGAGATTTTTAACAGCTGTTGCGTGAAATAGTTGCTGTATATTCAAAATAATAGCGTATTGGTAGTGTTTTATTTTTATTCACATTTCCGCATTCATGTTGCATTCATGGCAAATAAGATGGTTTTAGAATCGCTCACTGGTTTTAGGATCAGCTAAAAAGGGAATGAAGGGGGGCTAATAAATGTGAATAGTTATTATTTTATCAATAGATAATGCTTTCATTTAAATGATAATATGCAGACATAAACTCACAAACATAACTTTTGAAGAGCACGGAGAAAAAGTAATCGGCAGGGAGCAGCCGGGAAATGTACACGGTACAATTTAACATATTCCTATATTCCTATATTCAACGAATGCATCCACGCCCGCCCACAAGACAAACATGGCGACCTGCATTGGTATGGTTGCTAGAGTTCGTGGTGTTACATTGAATGTGCTAAAACCGGTAGCTAGACACTATTCAAGGCAGAGGACAAACGTGTTCATCCCACACCGCTTTTCGCATGGAGCCCGGAGCAGTTTGTATGAGCATGTCTGTGAAGGCTACAGTGATAAGCCCGAGCTGGATATGAGAGCAGTGTGTGAGGAGACAGACAAAGTCATAACGAATGTAGAGAACAGGAAGGGCGAGCTGCGAGGGGACGATGTCAGGAAAATTGTAAGTATTTCTTTGGCTGCTAATTCAGTACTGCTTGTAACACTAATACCACGACAGCTGTATTTATTGACGAAAACGGTTTCTGGAGTTGGCAGCAGACAGTAGCTGTTTGTGAGTAAAATCACAGAGCAAAGTATTGTTTGGCGAGGAATGAGCTAAATAAACAAGCACAGCGATGCTAAAGTAAAACTAGCAAATATAAACATATAAGCTAACGCTAGCTATTACAGTGTGAGCACTGCAGAACTGTCATGAATGAAATGATTATAAGAGAAATAAGGACACTGTAGTTGTTAAGAATTTAAAATGTGTTATTTCCTTCAGTTTCACCTCCACCGCTATACTCGCTTTTTCATTGATCTGATTGTGTGTTTCTGTAGGTATATGTGTGGCAAGAGCTTCAGGCAGTGAGGATGGAAATCGCTGAGCTGGAGAAGCAGAAGAGACACATTGCTGACACAGTTAAAGCACTAGTGGTCAGTAAGGATTAATACAGCGGTGCTCACCATCACTAGTTCTCTAAATTGTGTGGCGATTGTTTGGAATATACAATATAATATATATTCTCAGTTTTCCACACGTATCTAAAATCCACATTTTCACTTCGGTTTGCTCAGTCTTTTAACTTTCCTCACAGGCCAAGGAAGACAAGAAAACTCTTACCAATGTGAGTTCAGTTTCAGGACTTTATTACTTTGTTCTTGATTCCGTCTTGGCATTCATTGCTTCTGTCAGTGGTACAACACATTCGGTAGCGCTACTGTTTATCATGCAGCTTCCAGAGTACACCCAGGCTCTGCAGAAAGGGCGAGAGATCCGCAACAGGCTGAATCAGATCTACCTCAAAGAGACTGAGCTGGATGAAGAACACTATAGACGAGCTCTCAGACTGCCCAACACCACACACCCTGATGTGGTACGGATACACACACACTTTATCCAGCACATCTGGGGAGGCATTTGCTTGTGAAGCCTGTTGATACAAGTTTCTTTTTTCTTTTTCAGCCAATTGGAGATGAGACCCAGGCGAGGGTGGTGGAGCTGGTCGGCAAGAAGCCAGGTGATTGATGTCATGTCATTGATCTGAAGTGTGGATGAATGTTAGTCATACTTCACTCTCATGAGATAAAACAAAACAATCTCATGATTTGCTGTTTCTTTTTGCTGTAGAGTTTGACTTCAAGCCCAAAGGTCACATAGAGCTGGGGGAGGAGTTGGATCTCATCAGGCAGAGGTGAGGATTACACTCTGGTATGTTTATCTACTTGGTGTACTGTGTGTGCTGTTCTTTTGAGCAATTTGTTGATACAGTTATCAAAGAATAAGCATTTGAATAAACATAATAAAGAATATACATATTGAATATTCAGTTTGAGAGTGAATTAAAAAAAACATTTTTAGGAGCAAAATTCAATTTTATGTGAATTTGGTAGCATCATAATATTTAATATTTAGTCTGTCCTCATTCATATGAATGGAGATCCTTGAATTTTGTTCCCCTGTCTGCTCCTACAGGCATCTGTCTCATGTTTCGGGCCACAGGTCATACTATCTGAGGGGAGCAGGGGCCAGACTTCAGACTGCGCTCCAAAACTTTGCCCTTGACACACTGCAGCAACGGGTAAGCACGTGTTTGGAAATTGTAGATGTGATTATGATGATTATTTTGTTAATATATGGAAGAAGCAAACTTCTTTGATTTTTGATTCCTGCAGGGCTTCATTCCTATGGTTGTACCCGACATGCTGAAGGGAGCAGTGTTTGTAAGCAACAGTAGCATTTATTCATTTTCACTTTATGCCATTTGACTGTCCCTATATGTTTCACAACAGAGTTTTGACCTGTTTGAGAAGAGTTGAATATTATGAATGTTTATAAATTCCATATCAAATGAAATATTTTGTAACATTAACAAAGTTTCTAAATAAGTTACTGCAGGTGTGAAATTGCTGATATTCATTTCGAAGCATTTTTCAGTCACACAATGTCCCAACCTTTCTAAACCACTGGTGTCCTTTCATTCTGTTCCCTCCTCCAGGAGGGTTGTGGGATGCAGCCCAATGCCCATCGCTCTCAGGTCTACTCCCTGGATCCGGCCTGTTTCCCAGACCTCAACCTGGCTGGCACCGGAGAGGTTGGCATTGCAGGTGGAGCTCAGTTCTTCACTAATGTTAATGCTAATGTTAATTTTCTGAAGACTATGGCTCTGTCTGAAATCATTCACTGGTCACTATATAGTGTGTGTCTGAATTCTGAATTTCACTATAGAGTGAATGAGGGAGTGATTTTTGGGCGCAACCTGAGTGTGTGTACAGATTGTTAGTCTCATCATACTTTGGTTTAGCTCATTGTGTGGGTGTACTGTATATCAGGGCTTTTAAGTCAATGGATTTTTAACAGCAAAACGTGTATTATCAGGTGCTAATAACGCAAGAAAGGACACTAAATTGAAGACTCGTTTTGGAACAGCATGGTAAATTTTGTGGCTGAGAGAGTGTAACAACCATCTAGTTATTGTCTGGTTATATTAAGGATTTGTATTTTTCTGTTTGACTGAAGCTTGTGCTTAAAGCTAGTCAGTTTGTTTTCAGCTGCTAGAGCTTTGTTACTATGTACTTGCGTACGCATGGGTCGCGTGGAGTGGCAGCAAGTTACAGCAGCTGTGTCCTCGTTGTGTTCTTTTCTGTGTTTTTATGAAGTTCTGTTCTTATGTGTCTGTTCTTATGGTGTTATGTTGGTTGTTCTCTATTGCTGCTGTAACACAGAAATTTCCCCACTATGGGATCAATAAAGTACCTACCTACCTAGAGGATCTAGTGAGGCTCAAACCAAACTATAAGCAGCACTTAACTGCTCCTTGCCCCTCCCATCATGTCTGCTTTGCCAGCGACAATGTGAACTACGGATGCCTGGTTGAGACAAACTGTATTAAATGCGGCCTCTAATCTGAAGCTAGCATTAGCTGACTAATGAGTAAATTTATCAATCCAGTAGAATGCTCTGGTTACTGTTATTTGTTGACACAATGAACTAACTTGACACAACGATTGAATCACTCCAAAATCAAAATCACTTTAATTCATGTCTCTCTCATCGTCAGGCTATTTCATGGATCATGCGGTAAACTGGAAGGACTTGCCTGTAAAGTAAGGAGTACCACTCACTCCTAGATTGCAACAGAGAGCATTATATTGGAGTAATTATATCTGACATGAGCCGTCATCTCTCACTGCAGGACGGTATGCAGCAGCACCTGCTACAGAGCAGAGACGGACGCTGGCAGAGAGGCATGGGGCCTCTACAGAGTTCATCACTTCAACAAGGTCAGAACCAGTGACTATATATGTAAAAATGGATGAAGTCACAGCTACCGGAAGAGAAGCCATTGTGAGTCGATTGCCCTCTGGTGGCAGGTTGCAGTATAGGTCATTAATCCCGCCTCCTCCATGTTAGATGGGACATGAGCTAAACTAAAAACTCAAAGTACAAATGAAACACATTTTTCCCCATGCATAATTTCTATGATTTTTGGTAGATATTATGACTGATGTGTGTACAAGTGGCCATTCTTCTGGTTAGCTTGTTTTAATAAGTTATTTGATGAAATAATAAGAGGTGTATTTCAGATGATTTGACAGCTTTGATTAGTGGTCTGATATGAAACTCAACTACTTGGTCATTACTGCACAGAATCTGGTTGCAAAATGCCAAGATGGCAGCCACCCTAGTCATGATATTTTTGCTTCACCTTTGCATAGTGGAGGGAAGTGGTGATGCATCATCCATATCTATATACGGTCTATGGTCAGAACAAAATATAATAATTTATTTTATTTTTTTATTTACCCAGTGCAAACTATACAGTAAGTACGGTAATGGGCTCAGTAAATAACTGTGTGTTTTTATATGCAGGTAGAGATGTTTGGAGTGACAGCGGATGAAACAGGGGAGGAAAGCGCTTGGCTCCTGGAGGAGTTTGTTGCGTTGCAAAAAAAGATGTTCTCTGCACTAGAACTACACTACAGGTCTGTGCGCACACAGTCATATAATGTCAGTGTCCATGATCTTGTTATACACTGCTGTACAAAAGCTGTAGGAATTTTAGATATCTATATTATTATATGTTGCACAGGGCCATCAGGTCGAGTAGTCCCAGACTGATTCTACAGAATGGCAACATCCAAAACACAACCAGAATCATAAAGAGCTGCCTTCAGAGATGCACAGAATAAGATGTACTGTGACAGATGCTATGGCCACAGACCCCAACATCAGAGTCAGTCTGAGATTAAATAAAGAAACAGAAACAGCTGAGACAGCCTAAATCCACTAAAGAACTGCAGCAGGTTTTTCAAGATTTGAGAAGGTTATTGGTTTATTAATAAAACTGTTCATTATATTATTTTTGAAAGAATCCTCACTTTGCTTTAAGTACCTGAAATGTTTGAACAAAACCAGTACGTAACCAGAACATTGTCCTTGTACTTGTATTTATTTTCTTCAGAGTGTTGGACATGCCATCTCAGGAACTGGGCCTTCCTGCTCACAGGAAGTATGACATTGAAGCCTGGATGCCTGGGAGGGACAGCTATGGAGAGGTCAGCCTTACTGTTACTTGCTTATTACTTAACGCACTTCCACAATCCAAGTCAGATTTGTAGGAAGTAACTGAAACATTTATTGACTATGAGTTTTTTTTAATGATGTTCATATATCTGCAGCATGCAGGCAGAAGCAAAGAGTTGCCAGAGTAAGCTCTAGCAACAGGGAATAAATGTTGAACATTTGAATTTCATTTTAGTTCAAAATGCTGCACAGGCAGTTAAAAAAGTGCCCTCAACTTTCAGGTATTGGAAAAAGCCTGAGATGGGATTGAAAGAGGTTTACTTGCTTCTGATGATTCTAATGCCAGTTCTTGACTATACATACATCTATATACTAGATTTCGAGTGGGTCCAATTGTACCGACTACCAGAGCAGACGCCTCAACATCCTGTATGAGAGAGAGGACGGCAGCCTGCAGTACGCCCACACAGTAAGACTGCAGATGAGGCAGCGTGGCTCTACATCCCTGCTGCTTTAACTTACCTCAGTATACCACTGCCATAATATGTTTTCATCATCTCTCTCTCTCCCTCTCTCTCTCTAGGTGAATGCTACAGCATGTGCCATCCCTCGAACCATCATTGCTCTCTTGGAGACTCACCAGACCAAAGTACGACAGAGATTTATACAACCTGGAATCTTTTTTAATGCAGATTTCCTGGGAGACCAAATAAATTAATCTAAAAAGTTGCAAATGCAACAAAATTATGCTGTGGTTGTGGTTATATGAACTGTACATTGCAATGCTCCAGCATGTTTTTTATGTATAGCAGCAATAACCATCAGCTGTTATTATGTTCTAGTCAGGAAGTGCATTTGATGTTTTTACTATGACATTAGACCAAGGTGAGCATCTAATTCAGAAGCTGAATCTGAGGAACATTTGGCATCTAAGCTAGAGAAATGGGTAATCGGTTATGAAAACAGTTAATAATTATTTTTGTTGATTTTGTTGTTTCTTTGTCCGCCCAACCACCCACCCCTCTCCTCTTTTCATCTCATCAGGAGGGAACAGTACGTGTACCTCAAGCCCTGCAGCCTTATTTGGGTCTAGAAGTGATTGAGAAGCCAAAGTACATTCCTGTGAAATACATCGGACCCAACCAACACAGTCGGCCACCCAGGCCCGCACCCAAGACCAGATGACACTGGTATAAATGTAGTGCTCTGGCCCCAGCCAACGTCCACAGACACCTGAGGTGGGACAGGAAGCGGATAGTTAAATAATATTCATATACCATTGTTGTATATCCGTTTACAAGTTGTTACAGATCTCTGATGTTCTTTACATTAAAGAGATAGTCTGACTTTTTGAGTTGAGCATGAATTGAATGCACCACTGTTGTATGGTGATGGATCAGACATCATCCAACCATCCATGACCTGGATGAACAAGAATCTCCACTGACTCAGGCAATTTACTATCATTGTAAACATATTTATGTATTCGTTTTTCAAAAAACATGCAATTATGAATTTAAGCCTGAATTTCTGCTTTCTGAATTATACAATATTGAAAACATCTGTAAAAATAAGTGTTTAGTTTCTGTCTCATATTGCTTTAAAAAATGTAATCACTAGTGCAGCACATACAGAAAGACAGTGACCTTGAGGTGGGGCTGCACAGTAGAATATTTAATGTCTCCAAGAGGTTATATACAGTTTAGACCTGTTAATGTGTGTTAAATTGCCAAGTGTATGCTATTTATATGCTTAAATAATTAACTAGCAGGTAGAGGAGGTGATGATGTTTCCACAGAGCCTGCAACTAAAGTGAAAGATGTTATAATAGTGTGCTCACTGGGCACATTTAGTGATATTTGAATAGTGTGCAGTCAACATATAGTTTTGATTTGTCTCACAACATTTTGAGGAGCACCCATATCATTAAGCCAGAGAGTCACACTCTACTTTGCTGTTCGTCACAACATTGAACATATTGGAGGTACAGGATGACCACCTGACTCTCTAGTACCTTACCAGGGTTTGGGCTATAGGCTCATTCTCTCTCTCTCACACACACACCCGGCTTGGCTCGGCTCCACCTCGGCGGGTGTGTGAAGAAGCTCCTGCGTGGTATTTCAAGGTTATCTCCAGCAGGAGCCTCACTTTACGGATCCTATGGGGATTTTGATGAACGCGGTGTTTCTTTGGCTTGCAGTCGGAGGTAAGCATTCGTCACATGAATTAAACATCTATTGTATTTTGGACGCTTACTATAAATTGTCGGTACAGAATGAGAGTGCTGCACTCAGCCGGAGACAAGCCCCATCTTTTACGCACTACCGGCATGAAATAATATAATAATAAACAGAGACTAAATCAAATGCGCTATAGTAACACATACAGGAGCAAAGCGAAGGAGTATGCTAAGCCAACAGAGAATACCTTAGGGATTTAGACTTAATAGGCTCAACAAAAGCGTTGTTACATAATTTGTTGTGCGCCCATTTTCCTGTTTCTGCTGGACTGACGACGCCGAGGTTCAGTACAACGGAGCGTATTGGACTGTGCTGTTACTCCAAACCTCCTAAACAACGCAAAACGCTAATTACACCTCCGCACAGGTGAGCGGAACAGCGCACATGTGTGCGTGCTCCACGGTGACACGCGCCGACTGCTGTGAATGTCATGTTCACTGGTAAAAGAAGTGAGGTTTCCTGTAGGGAGAGAATTAGAGGGAAGTCAGCCTCCCACAGATGCGTGCGGCGGTGGGGTTCATATTAGGATGCAGTGGTGCAATGTTCAGCAATACAAGTAATAGCCAACACAGAACAAACTGTACCTCTTTGTGAGGTTCGGTTTAGGTGCGATGTGTGAAGGCAATAATAGTCAAACCCCACCCTAACACAGTGCAACTAAAGCTATAGCCATGGGATATATATCGCCTCAGAACGAGCATCTATAGCCTAATAGTCATAGGGTACCACTGTGTACTGCAGGTAGGAGTAGTAGCCTACTGTTATTGCGCATCGTGGTCCTTGGGGTCTCAAAAGTTTTAATCTAAATAAGCAACATCTGAGAACGGCACCACCTCCACTTGCTTTTGGCTTTTCAATTTCTAACATAGACCTGCCAGGATGGCAAGCCGATGAGACTAGAGCCAGATCACAGGGTTGGCCAGGTCGTCAGCTTAGAGAAAGTGTGGATACCTCTCTCTCTCCCTCTCTCTCTCTCTCTCTTAATCACATGGTCTCCAAGAGTATTGAGTCTGTGTGGGGGGGTCATCACTGGTCAAAGATATCAAGTTGGTCCCATTGATCCTGATCTGGCTGTGTGCTAACATAGTGCACGGGTTTGAATTAGACTGCAGCTTCTATGTCAGTGAAAGGAGCTACGAACTGAGTCTATCTACAGAAAGGCAAGTTCATTTATATAGCATAGTTTCATACACAAAGACAATTTAAAGTGCACAACACACAGATAAAACATTAGAATGCATACAAAATGCACACATAACACATATATACTGCTACATAACAGTATCTACTAAGGAGGAGGTTAGAGATCCTATTTCTAGTCTGTGAAGCTGATGTTAGTAAAATAGACTTCAAGGAAAATGTCTAGCCAGAAAGGAAAAGCATTGTGTTTATACAGCTTAGACATAAAGAGATGGATTAAATGGATCCATTTGAATGGTTGATGGTTTTAATGGCTTAACTGATTTGAAATACTGTATAATTAAAACCATTACAATTATTAAATCTATTCATTCCATTTAGTTTTGTGCAAGTCCATTTTATGTTAGGAATACTTTGGTGGTTTTTTGGCAAGTGTTTATATAAGTTCAGTTTCTTGTAATAATTTTTATGGTATGTTGACAGAAAACAGAAAAACCTTTCTAAATTGAAGGTGATGTGGGCTGACATTTAAATGGTTTGAGTAATTGAACAGCACCATATTTTTTGATTCAGCTGGTCCTTGCATCCAGAGCATAACTATAAAAGAAAAGGTCGCAGGCTGCAGCATGGATTGTGATCTACACTGACATTTAGGTCCTTGTTAGAGTCGATGTCTCTCCACGAGAAAAGGTGCTGATGGAATTGGGTGCCTTTAATGATCTAGTGACTGGCAGGGATTGGAGAGAAACTGCCTGTGAACTAAAGTCTGTGTCCTTCATGGAGAGAGAGAGGGACAAGGGGTTAAGGTTTGTAGCTGTGTCATTTTACCAAGGTAACTGCGTTTGCCTTAATGAGATAACAGCTCCCTCCATGCCCAAGCAGGATAAAACATTTCTGTGATGCTCTGCGCAGTAGTTTGGTGCAGTTTTTAATGCTGCAGAAGTGTTAAATATGTAGATTTATATTTAAAGTCTCTGTCTCTTTCTCTCTTTCTGTCCCTCCCTGTTTTGTGCCATAGTGGGAAGCCGGCCAGTAACCTCACCCCTTAATAATGCAAAGGTCAGAAACAAGTACTTTTTATTATCCCTGTCATTCAGCATAATATAGATTTTCCTAAAATCCACCCACTAATTTTGTGTGTTTTGTATTGTGCCTCTAGGTTGAATGTATTATTAAGGAAACACTGAACGAAGATGGGTCACAACATGAGTGTGGCCCACAGCTAGCAGGTGACATTTCTTTACCTGAACTAAATAATATTACATAGTGTGAAATTAGTTTTGATAGTTGATTAAACAATTAAGAAACATGCAAAAACTGTACAAAAGAACCTCATTATGAAACATGAAAATGTTCTGCTGTTTTACATTGTATTGTTTGGACCGTTGGTGGAACAAAACAAGACATTTGAGGAAGCCAACCAGGGCTCTGGATAATAGATACAGGCATTTTCAGTCCGGTTACTGTAACTGATTAACCTTTAGTTTGGCAGCACATGGAACAGTTACTGTAACTGTCTGTCTTACTGTAACCTTTAGTTTGGCAGCACATGGAACTACTGCAGCTTAACTATCATATTATAATTTTTTTTTTTTTTTTTTTTTTTTTTTTGCTGCATTTGATGAAATTTGCAATCGCTCTAATCAGTGATGTGTGTTCCGACACTTTTCTCTTGCTACATAATTTGTCTGCATTTATCAGAACTTTTGTTGGTATTTTCTACTGTGTTTTTGGCGTGGTCTTATTTTGAAGTGTTAATGTGTTTTGTCACATTATTTGCAGAGGAACTTGATGAAGTGAAAAGACATCAGGATCTGCTCGGGGAGCTGCAGAAGTTGGCAGATGATGGTATGTACAAATTCACACTCACACACATCCCACCATTTCTTTGCAAAACACTCTGAAATGCATTTTTTTGCTTTGAATTAAACTGAATTAAAAGTCAGTTTTAAAATGTTTTTGTGAGAGAAGTGACATCTTCACCCCTGATTACACACATGCATTTTAAAAGCACAGTGTGTATGTCACTGACTATTGCAATCTGATTTACAGAGAGGGAAAGGGAGCATGAGGATGAGAAAGAGAGGAAGCGTTATGAGCACAACTTGGCTGACAGTGAGAATGACTTTGAGCAGACAGGTGAGGAGGAGAAGGAGGAGAGAGATTCAACCAAACCTGTGAAAAAGACAGAGGAAACGAAAGAAGAAAAGTCAGATGGAGGTGACACCAAGGAGAAGATGATGGAGCAGCCACGAATTGAAGACAGAGGGAGGGATGATGAAGAAGAGAGAGCCAAAGAGCTGGAGGAGCTGCTGGCTAAAGAGATCACAAAGAAAGGGAATGAGGAAAGGAATGATGAAGAGCTCAAAGAACTGCTGAAAGAGTTGAAAAAGAAACGATCTGAGACAGTGAAGGAGCGGGGGAGCCAGAAAGGCTCTGGAGAAGAACAGAAGGAGGAGGTGGAGGGCAAGAAGGAAAAAGAGGACAAAGAGAATGAAAGCGAAACAGCAGATGACTTGGAGAGGAGGAAGAATGAGGTGGAGCTGATAGTGGAGAAGGAGAAGGTGGAGAAGGAGCTAAAAGAGCTGCTAAAGGAGCAGGACAGCAAGAGCAAGCCAGAGCAGGAGAGGAAGAGGAAAGAGAAGCAGGAGGAGTTGGACGAACTTGTGAGGAAGATGAAGCGGGTGCGGGAGATGGAGCAGGAGACACCGGGTGGGAAGAAAAAGGAGGGAACAGATGAACAAACAGCAGAGGAGAAAAGTGAGAAGAAGGAGGGTAAAGGAGAAAAGGATCCCGATGAGAAAGCAGAGAATGAAGTCAAGACCGTGGCAGAAGTGAAGGAGCCACAACAGAAGAGAGTGATGGAGAAAGCAAGCGATGAGGCCACGCGGCAGTTTGAACGGGAAAGGTACAAGGATGAGGACCAGTACATCAGAGAGGATGAGGAGGGGCAAGATGAAGATGAGGACGGTGATGCTGAAGAAGATGAAGGGGAGGTAAGTACATGCAAATATATGTGACACTGGGTGTGCGCTCATTAACACTATAGCCCAGAAATGACATTTTAATTATTTAGTATATATGTAGGACTAAATAATTGCTTAGTCTGTACCTATGCCAGGACAATATATATAAATACCAGACTGTAAAATAAAGTTGCCCCTTTCACAGATTTATTTGTATTGTGCATGTAATACAAGGGAAAAAATTACATTAAAATGTTAAAATGTAAATCAAGGGAACAGAAATATTTATAAGAGTTTACTGTGTAGGTAATGTCATATAGAAGAGGACCAAGAACACCACAAAGCATGTCGGTCCACTCAAGATGCATAATTGTCTATTGAGATTAAATGTGACTTAAACCACTTAAGCGCTGTGCATGAGAGCCCAACCCAGTTTACCAGTCTGTCCAGTAGTATTATATGTTTAACTGTGTCAAAAGCAACACTTCGGTATAGTAAGACTAGAAATGAAATCCTACCTGTGTCTGAGGCCTGTCTCAGGGCTGCATGTGTGTTCACAATGTTTTCACTGTAATCTTTGTGGTATAATCTAAAGTATTACCCTGTATTCTGTAATCCTATGTCATCTATTCTTTTTTTTTTGTCTACAGGAGCTGCTGGAGATTGAAGCAGAGTTGCGCAAAGTTGCTGCAGAGCTGAGGGAGCTTCGCAGAGGATAAGACATACATACACAGTATAAACGCACACACACACACACTGAGAAAACCCTGTCGCATTCACAGTTGCACATTAAGCTCACACACTTTCCATTTAACAACCTTCAAGTCCCCACAGCACTCAGAGAAATATCTTCATATGTGAATCTGTGCAGTGATAGTAGTAGAAACTGTACATACTGTTGTTTCATTCCTGTTTTAGATCACTTGGAAAAAGGCTGTCAGTGTTCACTCAATGTTCATTTGAACATTGAGGAAAAAGAGACAGGTTTTTTAGAGAATCTGAAAGCTTGTTGCGTCCATCAGTCGTGTCCTTGTGTCAGTACCTGTAAATATGCTTTGAAAGGTAGACATGATTTCACTTCACTTGTAAGTCACTGTGAATGCAACACATTCAACACTCCCATTCAAATGCTAATTTTGATTGCAGACTGCCAATCACAGACCACCATCTTTGAAATCTGAGTCATGAATACTGGCAATCAGTGCTTCTTTTCACTGAAGTATCACCCCTGATGGTGTGTTCTTGGTGTGAAAAAACGGATTCCCTACTACAAATAATGTTATTTCAAATGTATATTTTCTGCAATAACTTCTAACTTAGATGTATGCTGTTCTGACTGTTAAAGATATGTATTATTGAGATTTATACAAAGGAGTAAGTCATTATTTCCTCAATGTTTCTATAATGATAAAAAAAGAAACAAGGATTGTGTTTAATTTGGCTCATGTACTGTTAAAACCAGACTGTTTGAAACGGGGTGACACCAACAAAACACTGAGTAAGTAAGATTGTACTTATGCATGCTGGAAGGGTATGCCAGATGTTGAGTTTGTCTTGATGGTGTGTGGCGACAGGACGTGATGTACTTACAGCTTACAAGGTCTAAAAGTGTCACTTCAGGTTCTCAGCCAGCTTTGCACTCTTATCTTAACAAGCCAAGGAGGAGTCGAGGGCAGAGGGAGACACTAAAGCCATTCTGTTGTCTTTTGGTAACAGCAACACTCACAATAACACTGATGAATGTTCAGTAGCATTACATCACAATTTTCATGGCTGTCATGTCATTTGTGTATATATCAGATATAGTCTGCAAGCCAAGGTCATAGGAAATATGAAGCAACACCGCCCCCAAGAGGACATTTGGTAGAAATGCACATGGACTCACAGGGTTACCAGTGGAGGCCCACTTAACTGCAATAACACAATACAGACTGCAGCACATGTGAATGCAATAACTATCCAAATAATTAATAATTTATTGTATTTTAATATATAATCAAAGTGCATCATATATAACTGATACGGCAAGTATAATCTCTCTTTTTTCTACACAGCCAAGACAAGACACAAACATACACATACACATAATCAGTCACCACTGCATCTATTTCAAAGAAGAGATGTTGGTTCACTTGAGAAGAAGTGAAAAATGAATGTACTGTTGTTTTTTTCTAGAAAAGTGCAAAATGTTTCCATAAAATGTATCTTAATAACCAGCAAGAAAGAGGTACAGTAGGAAGTGTCTGTGAAGGGAGGGGGCAGAGGGTGACATACTGGGCACAGAGGACATTTCAAATAGGAAAAAAATGATAAAAAACACTATTTGGAATACTGGCCAAGCAGAATGCTGTATTTTGTGCCTGTTGTATCTTCTATGCTACCTGTCAATCAATAAACAGAAAGTTTATTAACCACTGTGCATCATATTTTTGGTTTGTCAACTTGTGAATCGAGCAGAATCACACAAAGCACAAATTATTAGTGTGAGATTGAGTCACAAATTACAGTAATAGAGAATAAGGTCTCAAAAACATCCCTGGTTAATCCCAACAGAACAGTGAAAAAGTTTGTGCTGGTGACTTTTGTTTGTCCTGGAAAGATGATGAACACTTCATAATCTGTGATCTGTTCCTGGGGTGACTTAAAGGCCAGCTGTAGCAGCAGATGGACCACCTGTAACTTGTGTGGAATCAGGAGAGCTAGTAGCCCTGGGGCAAGCAGAGGTCTATTTGTCCAACTCTGACTCAGTGTGGCTGAGCTGAGAGGAGAGAAACTGGGGCCCTCCATCGTAGCCTAATGGAAAGATCAGAATATCACCGTGTTTGTACGTCTGTATGTGTGTATTACCTGGGAGGTTCATCCTACCGCGTTTCTTATCACGGAGACAAAAGCCAACCTTACGTAGTGTTATGTGTGTTTGGGGGCCACTAGCGGCCAAATGGCATCATAGACAGACAGAGAGGGGAGGTCGGTGCCAATCCTGTCCATTAAACCACCCCTCATAAATGTTCTGCTGCCACATATTGTATCCCCCACAGTCCAAATTAATAACTTTCGTCCGCATGTGCAAAAAACAAAAGACTAGTCTATCTGGTAAGTGACTTGACTTCCTTATTGCTGCCATCCAATAATAAGAGAGAGGCCGGTCATGGCGCTGCACCTCACAGACTGAGCGACAACTGAAAGAGAAAGTAAAAACTCTGCCAGGGAAGTAGCTCCATTACACTGCTTTTCGTTTAGCACAGGCATGTTGTTTCCTTAGAAGTGACGGTCAAAAAAGGAGAATAGCCATCGACCATTCTGGTAGATATAACTATAGACTAAGTGCTGCGATTCACCTGAGGTCACCTGGAGGAAAAATGTCCCGCGGTTCAAACGCAGGTTTCGACCGACACATCACCATATTTTCACCGTACCAAGTCGGTAAGAGAGACGTGCTAGGTGTTTTAGCCGGTTCTGGAGCTTGTTTACCGCACAGCAATTTAACTACTAAGATTACACAGCCTAAAATTATTATTATTACCTATCCTAAACCTAAAGTTAAACTCTACAACTATAAAGTTCTGTGAAGTTCTTACTGGTTAAAAATGTTACAGTTTTCGTTTAATATGTTGTAACTGAGTAGTCATACATATAATACAGTAGTTCCTCAAAGTTATCTTTGTGATATTGGTGTTATGCTGGTGAAGGAGCAAATAATCTATTCCACAGCTGAACAGGATTTGATACTGTTACATTAAAAACTTGGTTTTATTCTAAACTTCATGTACATCTCACGCTGTCCTGCAGAGTATGCCTTCAAAGCCATCTCCCAGAGCGGGCTGACGACTGTGGGGGTCCGGGGGACAGACAACGTTGTGGTGGTCACACAGAAGAAAGTACCTGTAAGATACACACTTACATATGCTTGTCTTTCACACCTAACCCCAATCTTGATCAAAACCCCAATTAATTCTAACACCTAACCCTAAAACTAAGTGTTAACTCTCAAGAACCCTCGAAAAGCCATTTGGAGCAGTGCAGATGGGCCACACAATGATGGTATTGAAATAAAATTTGCCCCACAACCATAGAAAGGCATGTATACACTCACAAATACCCACAAAGATGATGATGATGATATGCGCTGAAGCAAAGCGAAGCAGTGAAGCCTCACAGGAGTCATGACTCCAGCTTTTTGCTGACAAAGAGTCAAATATATGAATGTGATACAATGATATTAATGCCGACACTCACATTACCAAGCCTGAAACTAGTTTAATTTTGACAAACCATTATCACATACAGGAGGAGAGCGAAATTAGCATTGTGGTCATCCCATGTCTGTTTCACAGACTAATCATTTTAATCAACGATGTTAGTGAACCTAAGTGTCCAGATTTGATCCTGAATGCTTTATCACTGTGTTGCAAGGATCAAGCAAGGCATTGCCAAATACTTTTACTGAAAGCAGTTACTTGGAATTTGCATAAAGAGTGAATTCAGGTCCCATGTTGTCCCCTGCGTAATATCTGTTGTACCAAATGCAGTGTCATTCCAGTCAACAATCATTAAACAATTAGCAGGTTAGTGTAAAGATGCCTCTGATTATAATGTGGTTTGTGTAAGGACATAGCTGGTATTGTACGCTGAAATATTAATGTCTGTTAGCACAATATGATTTTGTAAGGTGGATGAGACACTGATTGTTTATTATATTTTGGTCTCAACTGCAAGGACAAGCTGCTGGACTCTTCCACTGTTACCAATATGTTCAAACTGACCCCTCGTATTGGCTGTGTGATGACTGGACACAATGGTATTCTGCGCACACACGCACACACCACATTATTACATTATATGTCACCTGAAAGCCTGTCACTATTAAGGATGATAAAAGTGTTTGAAAAATGACATTTCCAAAGGTTTTTCTTTCTTACTAGAAATTCATTATATTTACTCAGGGACAATGGTATAAATTGCAGTTTATGGGAAACTTGAATCTGTTTGTTACATGTCATTTCACCTGTCTCTGAAAGATGTTATTGATTAGAAGAGGTTGAAGAGTTGCGTGCTTTATGTTGTACTTTCTTCTGTCCTGTGCAGCGGACAGTCGTTCCCAGGTTCACCGGGCACGAATGGAGGCTGGGGAATGGAAATATAAGTTTGGTTATGACATCACTGCAGACGTGTTGTGTCGTAGGTTGGCTGATATCTCCCAGGTCTACACGCAAAACGCCGAAATGAGACCCCTAGGCTGCTGTGAGTGGAGGTCTTGATCCTTGGTGTTCGTTTCCATGTTCATATTGCCTTTCATCAACAGCTCACTCTGTCCTTTTTATCTAATTTACTTACAATACAATAGCTCTTATAGTCACTGCACATTCCCATTGACTTACCACACACTGATAGTCACTGCTCAGGGCATTGTTGTTCCCTTATTGTTTCAAATTTTTTCTTTATTTCTTTAAATTTCTGAACCACTCCTTTGAGTTAAAAAAATAAAGACAGCCAATCGAATCAGAAAATTCCTAAAACATACAGTAAATCCACATACAACAAAGGAAGATATGGAGGTTTTGCTCTCAGTCTTTCTTTCCTCTTCTCTGTTTCCTTCCCAGGTATGATCATGCTGGCTATTGACCCCCAGCAGGGCCCTGTCCTGTTTAAATGTGACCCAGCAGGCTACTACTGTGGCTTCAGAGCCACAGCGGTCGGGGCCAAGCAGACAGAGGCTAACAGCTACCTGGAGAAGAAACTGAAGAAAAAGCCTGAACTGACCCACGACAGAACAGTACAGGTAGAGTGAAGCCTAATGAATTGGACTATGTAAATAATAAAGTCTTTATGAATTATTCATATTATATGTGAATTTTGAATCCCTGGAACAATAGTTTGGTCCTTAGATAAATAAAGGTCACTGAAGGATGATGCTGTAACAGAAAGGCCAACACATCTCTGTCTCAGCGAAGTGTCCTTGAACAAAACACCTAATCTAGAAGGACGCCACAAAGGAAGCCACTCACATATTATGACCATATTTCTTTCTGCCAGAATTAACCACTACTGAGTAAACTGTGTTATAGTAGCAGCATGTGTTTGGAGGAAAATTTGCTTAGACATCCTTCTATCTCAGTGTCATCTTAACTGAAAATCATGTTTAATGGTCAGACAGATGTGTTTGTTGTATATGTATTTAGGTTTACCAGCACACTAACCTTACCCCCTCTCTGTCTTTTCAGTTGGCTATATCCTGTCTGTCCTCTGTTCTGTCCTTGGACTTCAAGGCCAATGAGCTCGAGGTCGGCGTAGTCACCAAAGAAAAACCTAAGTTCAGGTAACTTGACTCCAACTTTTTGAAATAGTCAGGAGCTGTATGAGAGATTTACAAAGATCATGACTAATGTCCTGACACAACATGGGACCAACACTGCTCTGGATTATCCTGTATTTTATGGGGTTTTTATTATAATTTTGATTTTATTTTGTGCAACTTTGAGCTTATTTTGATGTTTTGCATTGACACTGTTGGCCACTTACTCACTGAGTGTCTTAAACTCAGTGAAAGTAACCTTTTTGAATAGATCAGAGAGTTTGTGCGATCGATGCATTAGTTTCTTTTTGAGGGGCTTTACATGGCCATGTCTAACACATACATTCTCATTCTTTTATCTTACATCAATACCTGTTCACTCTTTGTCTTTACTCTTTTCCCTCTGGTTTTTATTCTCCACTCATTTCCTCTACTGTTGTTTTTGTAGGATGCTGTCAGAGGCAGAGATAGAAACCCACCTGGTTGCCATAGCAGAACGGGAGTAGAGGTGCCTTCATGCACATCCAGCCATGATTTACCAACACTGTTACCAACAGTTTTAACCCCAGAAGTACATTCCCTTCTAACTGTGTGTCCAGGAAGCTTAGCCATGTACACCTGAGGGCAAAACTTTGTTATAAAGGACTGATACAGGCTTGAGTGATAATAATTTACCAGACATTTCCAACTGGCTTTTTTAATTCAATAAACAGTAGGAGCACAATGTCTCCATTGTGATCTAGCACAATAAAAACCATCTTTAGTAGACAACACAAGCAACGCAGTCGACTATACTTTGAAACATACTGTATTTCCATGTTTGAAATGCAACAACAGCGTATTTATACTGTATGTTTTAGCACTGGAATTGGTGCAGTTTCCACTCTAATAAAATTACAGTGAAAATGTCCATCTGAGTCATTATCAACTCCAATAAAACAAGTGTCACAATATAAAAAGACTACAAACACTGCCGTGTTTTGCTTTAAATTCATTAGTTAAGAACTGCCCTGTTTCTAATTGAACAACATTCCTCTTGTTGATCAACAGATGGCAGCAGTGAGACCAGTGAGACAGTAATGTAACATTTGTTAGGTTTCCTTGTAATGGCCTGGCAGCAAGTCAGTTATCTGCTTTAGGGAGCAATGAAGGGTGGAATTAATATAAAACATATTCCACCAAGTTATATCATTGGACATTGGGCAATGTGTGTATGAACATGATCTAAGTCAAGGGTCCATTTCCTAACAAGAATGAAGGATATTTTCATGAGAGGAGAGGATCACTAAGGAAAATGTATGTAGTTACTTTGGCAGCAATAATACTTGTATTAATAATGCTTATTTTTAAAAAAGTATCACTGTATCATGGCCCGTATGTGTGCAACAGTGGTCCTGAGCTACTTCATATCATCACTAGATGCTTCCTTCTACATTATACAGTCCATCGGGCTCATGGACAAAGACAATGAGATACATTATAGTGCATAAAATACATTACAGTACAGTGTTTGCATGTATTACAGGTTACAGTGTAAAGGTTTATCCACCGAAATCAGAGAATAAAAGGAATGTGGCATTTTAAATGCAGTGTAAAACATGTGGAGAGAAGGTCGGTGTTGAAGCTGGACATGTCCCATGTTGATCTTTCTATTGTAGTGCCTGACAATACATGCACAGGGCAACCTGAAAAACACAACACATGAGTGTAAATGAAAAATAAATAAATAAAATATGAAAGATAAAAATCATGAATCCAGGCGGGTCAAACTGTCCTCCAGTCATATTTGTTTAAAGTAATCATACAAGTTACAGCAATGAGGACAACATGTCATCATGTTGTCACAAGGACCAATCTGGCAATCATGAAGTTGTATGTACTGTATGATGCTCTTGCTTAAATAAATCTGTCCATACTGGATGTGCAGTTACTTAAATCTTAAATCTGTCCATACTGGATGTGCAGTTGGATCACTGGAGCCTGTATGTGCGCAAAGTATTTCACCATGTCGCACAGAGCACTAACGTTACACAAAGCTCAAATTACTCCAAAATGAAAATCATATTAATTCAATGCAAAGGTAAAATCATGACCGTGCTAGGTTGCTAATGTTACCAAAAAAAACAACAACAACACATTAGTCTTAGATGCTAACACATCCAGAAGGAAGAATGCTACATCTGAATCAAATTTGAGTCCTTTGGCTGCTTTGAACTCTCTCTGTACAAAAGAACATGAGAACTGTTTCAGACTTTCAGCTGCAGAGAGTTCCTCGATGACTGGCTGTTGGAAATGACAACTCTTTGTTTGAAAAAATGGTTCTTTGAACTTTCACTAGGTGGCATGTGGGGCTAATGTAGGGACAAGATCTTGAAAACACAGAGTAGAGAAACTGGAATAACAATAGAAGCGCTGTAGGTAGCAGACTTTCATAAAGGGGGTAATAGTTATATCACCACATCCTGTCCCATTTTCACTTGATTTATCAGACAGTCTATAAAATCTTAGTTAGATTAGATTGCAAAGATCTTATTTTCTCACTTTTGTCATTATGATAATCAATACTAAACACATCCAGAACCTGTGTGTAGTCATTTAAGTCACTCTTGCTGTTTATTTTTTTTATATAACTAGAAGATTATTTACACCTGTTTGACAGTTAATTTAATTCTGTCAGTAATAAACTGATTTTTACATTTTGTCTGTTAAAACGCCCAAGACTTCGCCATTGTGCCTACTCTGTAATTAAACTTGCAAGCTTTCACACTTTGTGTCCTCCTCCTCCCCTTCCTCACCTTACACCCCTCATCTCCATCTCCCACATAGATGGGTTTTTCCTTTTATATTTCACCCACCTATTCATTCCACTTCTCCTCATTTCTGTTCACTCTCCCGACATCAACCAAACTTCCACTTCACTCTTCTTCTGTCTGCTCTTGGCTCACCTCAACCAATACCTACGCCTGTTCAGCACCTCAGCGTCCAAACCCCTCATACTGCACCACACCACGTTCTCCTTCCTCTCCCCCATCTCCCTCTTCCTGCAGTACTGACCCTGTGGCTGGTGGCTCCTGG